CTGCACCCCCCAAAGCTGTTCAGAGACTCTGAGGACCCTCTGCCAGTCTCCTCAGCAGACGGCAGTCAGCCCCGAAGCCCTGCGGCCCACGGGCTGCGGTCGGTCCCCCCCAGACGCCAGCTCTGCGAGCTCACACGCCGGCTCTCCCAGCAGAGTGAGCGGAGGGTGGGACTGGCCTCCTCGGCCACGGACCGCGGGCTGCGGAGCACTGAGCTCTGAGATGCGCAGGGGGTGACGGCCCAGGTGACGCCCCTTTCTCTCCTGCGGGGCGCTCCCCACTGTGATTTCCCCTCTGGGGATTGCCTCTGCTCCCGACACTGCACCGCCTCCCTCGCCGACCAGGATCCCGCCCGCTCCGCAGTGAGCAGGGTGGGCAGGGTGGAGGCGGCCCGCAGGCTGCTGTGGCCGCACATGAGCTAGACACGCAGAGATGCTTAGGACCCATGTGGTCTGGACACACGAGTTCATGTTAATATCTGGAACCGCACCTGGGAAACCATTCCTCTGGCTTCACTGCTGTGTATTTTATTTCCAAAAAGCACCAAGTTATTCCATTATCTTGACACGTGTAAGCATAGGCCCTAAACGTCTAGGACACAGATGGCACCCCCCCACCCCCCCAGTGCCTCCTACCGGGGCTGGCGTCGCTGCTTTTCTTGGGGCTCAGTGGCACGGACGCCTGCTCGCTCGGCTCCTTCTCCTTGCCCTTCCGCCGAATGGGGCTGAGAGCAGGGGCGCTTGTCAGGGACGGCAAGGCTGCCTGGAACAGAGAGCAAGAACCTGGGAGTAAACCGCACAGACACTGCAGTCTATAGCCCAGTGATGGCGAACCTATGACACGCTGTCAGAGGTGACACGCGAACTCATTTTTTTGGTTGATTTTTCTTTGTTCAATGGCATTTAAATATATAAAATAAATATAAAAAATATAAGTCTTTGTTTTACTATGGTTGCAAAGATCAAAAAACTTCTATATGTGACCCGGCAGCAGAGTTAAGTTAGGGTTTTTCAAAATGCTGACACGCCGAGCTCAGAGGTTCGCCATCACTGCTCTAGCCTGTGGCTTTCCATTTATTGAAAAGCATCCACCCACAGAGTTCATCTTCTCTGCGAATCCACACTCAGAGCTCAGAAACTGCATAACCAGGTCCATCACCCAACCCCTCACCCCACGCGGTGGGTGTGGACGGCCCTTCCTGACAGGCGTGTGGGAATGTGGGGCGGAGGGCCCTGGCACCCAGCAGGACACCGCCCAGAACATTCGCTGGGAGCCGCGTCTTAAACGCCACCTTCCAGGTGAGGAAGCCGGCTCGTGGGTGAGGTGACTGAGTGGAGGTCACAGCTGAGGGCACAGAGCTGGTGGCCCACAGACTGCGGAGGCTCCGGCTCCCAGGCTGCAGGGGGCAGCCCACAGGGGCAGTGAGGGTGCCGACAGAGCCTGGGCCCCAGCCCTAGCTGGGCCCTCACTCGGGATCTCCGAGAACCCACCGTGCACGGCAGAGTGTGAGGCCGCAGAGCAGACGTGATGGCTTCGGGCAGGGGAGGACTGCGGCAGTGGGAGGACTGCAGAGCAGCACAGATGACTGCCCTGGGAACACGCTAAGGGGAGGGGCCAGGCACGCAAGACACCGGTGTGACTCCATTTACCTGTCGCAACAGGCACCTCCCCACTGAAATGGAAAGGCCTGGGGTTGCCGGGAGCCGGGGGCACGGAGGGTTGGAGGGTGACAGCTAAGGGCACAGCGTTCTTTTCTGGGCTCTAAAACTGACTGCAGTGGCGGCCAAGCGACTGTGGCACTGAAAGAGTGACCCGCACCCTGCAGGGGGAGGGGCAGGCGCGTGGATGACGCCAATTGCATCACTTCAACAAATTGCTCTAAACACTGAGGCTGCCCTAACCGGTTTGGCTCAGTGGATAGAGCGTTGGCCTGTGGACTGAAGGGTCCCAGGTTCGATTCCGGTCAATGGCATGTACCTGGGTTGCGGGCACATCCCCAGTGGGAGGTGTGCAGGAGGCAGCTGATCGATGTTTCTAACTCTCTATCCCTCTCCCTTCCTCTCTGTAAAAAATCAATAACAGGCTCCGACCCCCAGAGGGGGTCGTGCAGGAGGCAGCCAATCAATTATTCTCTCTCATCATTGATGTCTCTATCTCTCCCTCTCCCTCTCTGTAAAAAATCAATAAAATATTTTTAAAAATAATAATAAATAAATAAATAAATAAAACACTGAGGCTGCTTCGGCCTCCGATGAGATGCTCTGCCCGTCTGGCCGGAGCAGTGGCCGTGAGCAGGGGAAACAGTCTGTGTTCCTGCGTGTGTGCATGTGCATGTGCACTTGTGTGTGTGTAGGCATGTGCACACATGTATGTAAACAATTTCTTGCGAGATACTTAGTAGGGAAAACCAAGGACTTGGGGGGAGAATGAAGAGTTGCAGTGACTCCCAGTGTCCAACTTTACAAACACACAGTGAGCCCGGCTGGCGCGGCTCAGTCAGCTCAGTGGTTGAGCATCAACCTAGGAGCCAGGAGGTCACTGTTCCGTTTCCAGTCGGGGCACAGGCCCGGGTTGCAGGTTGATCCTCAGTGGGGGGCGTGCAGGAGGCAGCCTACCAATGATTCTCTCTCATCAATGATGTCCCTCTCTCCCTCTCCCATCCTCCCTGAGACCAACAGAAACATTAAAAAGCACACGCGAAGTGAGCGGCGGGGCCGGCACAGGCGGTGGGCCGCGCAGCTGCGGTCTGGGCTGGCTGTGAAGCGCCAGGCAGAAGTGCCGAGAGCAACGGACCACACGGACTGGCGCCGCCAGGCCTCGGGCCTCTGATGCTGAGCTGCTGCCTGCTCCGCCTGCCCACACGAGAGCACTGTCTACACTGGCTGCTGAAGTGCAAACGCAACGACTGACATCAGAAGTCAGTACCCCTGTGCACTGCCGATGGGAATGCAAATTGGAAAACATCAAAAACGGAGCTACCATCTGACCCAGCAATTCCACTCCTGGGATACGGCCACGGAAACGCAAACACTATTGGAAAGGACATATGCCCCTCTGTGCTCACCGCAGTTATTTCAGGTAGCCAAGACATGGACACAGGCCCAGTGCCCACCTGCAGATGAGCGGATAAAAGCCGGGGTACGCGCATACAATGGAACGTTACCCAGCTATCAAGGAGAATGAAATCTTACCATCTGCAGCAACATGGATGAATCTAGAAGCTATGATGCTGAGTGCAATAAGTCAGACAGACAAAGACAAACACCATATGATTTCACTTATATGTGGAATCTAAAACACAAAATAAGTGAACACAAAGATACAGAGGACAAAGTGACGGCTGCCGGAGGGGAGGGTCCTGGGGGACCAGGTGGGAAAGGGAGGGGCTAAGAAATACAGTTTGGTAGATACAGGCTGTCTGGGGACGTGAGGTTCCACCGAGGAAATATAGGCAATGACACTGCAGGAACTATGCCTGGTGCCAGGTGGGGACAGAGTTATCAGGAGGATCACGTCATAAATTATAGAAATGTGCAACCACTGTAACTTACACCTGAAACTGATAGTGAACGTCAACTGTACTTGAAAAAAAGAAGTTCTGTTTCTTAGTCACAGTGGCTGCATGTCAGGGGCGCAGTAGCCACAGGTGGTGCGGGCCACTCTCCTGGCTGGCACAGATGTGGCACGTTTCCATGGTTACAGAGCATGATGAGGGGCAGAGCCCAGAAAGCATTCACGGTGGGCGAAGACCACACCTGGGACACTCCCGGAATAGAAGAGTCAGGGAAGCAAGAGCCAATCGGGAGCCAGGAGAGAACGTGCCAGGACAGGAACTGAGGCGGGAGGCGGGGGGACACAGGACCGGGAAGCACCCACAAGGTTCAAAGACTGACCTGGCAGGAGGGGCTGCTGGGGAACGCGTGGCACCAATCAGACCTGCGGCTAAGAATGGGTGTGGTGGGGTCAGAGGCCAGGCAGCGCCCTCAGAGAGGCCAGGGTCAGGCCGTGCGGAGAGGGAGCGGCAGACAGGGCTGCGGGGAGGTGGGCAGTGAGGAGCTGAAGGCAGGCGGGTCTGTGATGGAGACAGCAGGAGGGGACAGAGGCGCAGAGGGGAGCGTGCTCTGCCGGGACCCACGTGGGAAGAGCCGGCCGTGGGTCTGGAGGTGACTGTACTGACTGTTCACAGAAAAGCACAGTGTTTGCCGACACGTCAGGAGAGAGCAGACGGGACGTGCCAGCACCTCAAGCCTGGCTTTCTTGCTAACGCGGAACGCCCGCTACAGCTGGTTTGCCCTCGGAGGCAACGGTACCTGAGGACCAGGCCAGAGGGCTACGGACTGGATCATGGCATTTTTATGAAATTCTGAGTCACAACATGAGCAATCTTGTTCACTTAAAGCAGAGTACGGGACAGACGGCTGAGCATACACAGGCACGACTGACGCCCAGTCGACGGCATGGCACGGGCCCGGGCACGAGGTTACCTTCCCCGCGGGTCCGGGCGCCACCTCGTCCAGCACGTGGGCGCAGATGTTGATCACCTTCAGCAGGTGGGAGAAGAGCTGCTCCACCATGGGCACCAGGCTCCGGTCCCCCAGCGCCGGCCACGCCTCCTCCTGCTTGGCGGCTGCCGGGGCGGCCTCCTCCTCCGCGGCCCATGAGCTTCTCAGAGATCGGGGGGCACTGGCTGTGACACAGGCACAG